AATATCCTGTTGTGTGCATAAACTCAGATAAAATAAATTGTCCAAGGTCATACAACTTACTAGTAGAGGAGTAATACTTTATTAGTGGAAGAGTTAATACTTTAACACAAATCTCATTCAGTTCCAAAGGGTGTACCTTTAACTATGACCAAATATTGCATCTCTTGTCTTCCAAAAATCCATCTTAAGGCAACTTCTCATTTGGAAAATTTGTAGTGCTTTTTATAGACCATTATTAAATAATGTGTTGCCAAGTATATTTATGATTTATTTGTACATATTGTTTCCTGCTATATGGAGAAATCCAAGGGTCAGTTATAACGTGTTCACTAACTACTTCTTGAATAAGTAAATGAGAGTTGACATAGTCAGAATTCAGTGTTCTAATTTATAAATGTTTGATATTAAAATATTATTTTAAAATATTTCACGTATCTGCTTATAGTGAATATTATATAGTGATGGAAACATATAGATATAGCAATAGCTATGATAAGTTCATAATAACAGTCAACTTAGCTGTTAGAAACTCCTCTCCTAGCCTTATTCTTTAATTTCTAGTAACAAAGGGCTGTGAAAATGTGCAAAGAAACAAAAAAATTTTTGTAGCTAAATCATGTGTATTTATATTTTGTATGTCTAATTGATATAATCACACTTTCTGAGTATACCCAATAACTAAGAATTGAGTACATTTGGAATTGGGTTTGGGTATATTCCCCAAAATAATTAAATCTATTCATGGGCCAAAGCCATACTGAGTGGTTCAGAAACCATGCTCTAAAATGCAGCAGCCACTCAAGCTTCTTATAGCTGGTCAAATCTAAAGTTCTTTCATTCCAAGTGCCAAATGCTAATTCTTATCCTAGTTTACCCAGATTCAGAAAGTTCCCTTTCTTCATCTGAGTCCCAGGATCTGTGGGCATCTTCTCAATTGTTTATAGACAGCAGAAGCTCAGGTCGCTACTGTGTTAATATTCATGGCCATACAAACCAATGAGGCACACCATCAATTTAAATGTAAAATGTAAGGGTAAGGAAGGCTATCATTCTAGTGATTAATACAGCTGCACAATGAGAGAGAAACAATTAAACTGCCACACTTTTCACTAAGAAAGATATTGCATGTATTCAGTAAGTTTAATTATATCCATTTTTCTAAATTGGGGCACAAAATTTCTTTTCTGCTTGAACCCCAATCTGTACATTATAGTTATCAATAAAAGGACAAGTCTTAAAAAAAATGCCTCTCAGCCCCATTACTACATAGGTGCCGAGTGCCAAAAAAAAAATAAAAAAATAAAAAAAAAATAATAATAATCCAGGAAGAGAGAGAACAAATAGTTAATAGACAAAAAAAAAATAAAAAAATAAAAAAAAAATAATAATAATCCAGGAAGAGAGAGAACAAATAGTTAATAGAAGCCATTTTCAAGACAATACGTTAACTGGTGACAGACATTTGCAAAGCAGTCTAGAGAAGCTAGAAATCCAATGATAAAAGCTCTGCACTTAAAATGAACTTGGGGCAAATGCAGCCATGAAAATCAAGACTTTTTTGCAAAACATAATAAAGCCTAATTACAAGGATATAATCATTCCAAGTAGAACAACAAAGAGCAAGAATAGGACAGTGGAGACAGAACTGTAGGAGATAACAAACTTAATCTGAAAAATGCACAAGGATAATAGAAACTATCAATTTATTATGCATGTAAGCATGTATTAATTTATTTATAACTTGCTTTAGTCCTTGGAGAATTTAAGACAGGCAAGACATTCTCTGGAACACAAGGCTAAGATTTTCACTATTTCCTGAGAGATGAGAAAATGAATATTAATACCAGAATTTCATACATACCATACATAGTTTTTGGTTATATAAATATGCATGTTAACTGTAAAGTCAGCTCCCCACATTTTTTATTCTATAAGGTAAATTAAGTTATTATCAAATTATTTCATCATTTTAAAATATACCTGTGTTGTCTACAGTCAGATATTTGAAATAAAGAGACATAAATTTTCAAAATCCCAGTGTTAATGCTTTTTTTCTGTCTGAGACTACTACTTATTAGACTAGCTCTAGGGGAGACTCTAATAAACATTGCTGACTAATAGTATTAAACTACTTTCTTTTTGGTTGCAAGCAAATCAAAGAACAAACTCTATCAAAAATAAATAAAACGAAATCTAAATAATTGTGAAATAAGTAACATTGATTATTGACAAGTTACTGAGGCCATTTCACAGAATCCAAGAGTTTTGAGTACATAATAACTAAGAAGGGCAGATACACAGTGACTTTAGAGGTCTAAGCAACTGACGCTCACATAACTTTTCCAAACTATTCTCATTCATATGATTCAATATTGATGACTACCAGTTTGGTATATCTGTAGTACAAATTTCAAATTCCCAGGAAAGAAAATTCAACTAGCCCTGCTACAATCAAACGTCTACTTCCTGGATCAATCAGTCATGGCCAGGGGCAGGCTCACGAAGTCTAAACATGACCACCAAGGCCCACCTCTGTGGACTGGGGCTTCTCTGCAGAGAAAGCAGATCAGCATGTGCTGCACAACTCCTTCAGAAAATATGTGTTTCACTGGGAGATATTATTACTTTTAAGTAAATAGCAAAGGAAATTTATGAAACCAGGAGCCCACAATTCTGTGGCAGAGATGAAAAAAAAACATCTACTTTCTGATTCTCTCACCTGACCACAGCACTGAGAGTAACACTTCAATGCTGGCACTTCTGACTTGTGATCTTCAGGAAGAGTCTTAAATGTAATTTTTCATTTGTTCCTAAGGTTCTAAAATTGAATAACCTAATATGGGATTCCCAGATCCCATTGGTTTCAACTCCAAGGGAATAATGAAGGATCAACAATTTATAATAATTCAAAAGACAAAATTCTGACTATGCATTTCCTTGCAATAAGACTGCACAAAGTAATAAAATATGAAAGCTCTTATATTAATATTTTTGGCTGAAATTACCAGTGTATTAGAGGATCAGAAATTCTTATTAGTGTTATACATCAGTGTGTTTGATTTACATAGGATTACTGCCTTATTCATGTTTCTATCTCCAGCAATTGGCATAGTACCAGACAGAGCTGAATGGAATTACTAAATATTGTAGCTTGAAAATAAAATTCCTGAAAATATGTATTCTATGGTACTCTCTTAGAAGAAAAGTATTAAAGAACAATGAACAGGAGAAATAAAAACTACCAACCTAAGAGGGTAAAATACCATTATTAATCCTCTTTACCAAGAAATCTGAGAGTTGTGAAATAATTTATTAAAACTTACAAAGAGAAAAATCAACACACCGGAGATTCATTCATTGAAACTTAACTCCCAGAATTTCTGCCATGTACCAGAAATTTTACTAGCTGTGGATATATAAGGCCCCCAAAGAGCCTTATATATCTCTTATATGTCTCATGGAGAAACAGATGTAGGAATAAGTAATTATTAAATGATACTATCAGGGATACAATAAAAGCAATGACTGATGAACAAACAATTATTAAAACACATTTCTCAGTTCAAGATCCACCTGATCAACATGGCAAAACCTTGTATCTACTAAAAATACAAAAACTTAGCTGGGATTGGTGGCATGCACCTGTAATCCCAGCTACTTGGGGAGGCCAAGGCAAAAGAATCACTTGAACCTGGGAGGTAGAGTATGCAGTGAGCCAAGATAACGCCACTACACTCCAACCTGGGCAACAGAGCAAAACTGTATCTCAGGAATAAAATAAAATAAACAAAAACAAAAGAACCACATTATTTCTCTATCACAAGCAGTCCCTAAGCATACACTCTCTCTGACCATCTGCTCAGAAAGTATAACAGTTTCATATTATCTAAGTCTCCAGCAAGTCTGGGCTCCCTCTGCACTGCGGAAATACCTCCAAAATTTAGCATCATCATCTCTCCTTCACTAACGGTGATCCCACTTTCTCCTTCTGCTATAGATAAAAACTGAGGAAAGAAGCTTCATCTGTTACACAATCTGAGTGAAAATCAGGCTCCTCCATGCTTACTGCTAACATAGTTTTAAGACGTGCTGTCAGTCCAGTTTTATCTTTCAGCACCTGGTACCTCAACAATAGATAAGGATATTTAAGAAGCTCCACATATTACTTTCACTTTGCCTACAAGGGGAGTCAAATGAAGAGAATGTCCAAAACGTAACTCTAATTTCTCAGCTCCATCGCACGCAAATTATTTCATGACAAACTCTCATTTACAGTATATATAAGCCCAAGAGATACCACTGCCATTTCTGTCAGGCAACCCATTTATTACAGAGTATCATACTTTCAGCCACTTTCTTCACATACTTCAGCACCCAGAGTAGTAGTATGAGTACATGAAATGAGAGGTAGGAAGTCTGGGATCTGTTCCCAGCACTACAATTGACGCACTATTCTTATTCCCTTTGCGTTTAAATCTCCCATTTGTAGCACAAGGTTAATGACATAGTACCTGTTTGTTTTTAAGGCACTGGAAAACTCTCTGGTAGAAGATACCATGCAAATGCAGACTATTATTAAAACAGGAAGACTTGAAAATTGCAAGTTGGTGTGGTCATCGCTATTAAGCAGTTGACACAGTAACAAAAGAGAAAGCATCTTTCTTCAAGGCATCTAAAATCAAATACTGCTGAACATGCAGCTACAGAAAAATATACGTGCAAATATATTCATTTTAATGACCTTCCAAATCTAACTAATCAATAACCCATTTAAAGTAATCCTTTCCAAGTTATCCTGACTCTGACAAAATGCATGGAACCCCTAATCACAGGTATTTTTTAATAATGCAAAGCTTTCCGAAAAGTTATTCTTTCTCCTTGCAAAATATTGCTCTACTCCAGAATTTTAGAGCACATATGGGCTTATTTCACTAAGATTGTTCCAAAATACAGAAACATTTCTCCTTCAATCTGGCCAATTTTGGAATAATCAAACTTACAGTACAGTGTTGGACAGGCATCCAAGCAGGGGCTTCCACTGAACAATTCTGGGCTGGGCATCTGCCTTGGTTTTGCTGCAAATAAGTAAAAATGATATTATATTCTATTTATTATGTCTAGTAGATATATACTAGCTGACATGTTTATTATCAATATGTATATTTACAAGGATGGCAGAGAGAAAATGCTTTTTTTGGTGCAATGCTGCAGAAAACTAGGTACATATTTCTACTCTTATCAAAGCATAAGATATTATCCTTTTCCTTTTTTATTACTCTAATGACTAGGTTTTTGGCACCAGGCTTTCTCAGCATCTAACCTTCCAGGCCTCAATACCAACCAACTGAGAGCTCTCATAACCCATAGGCTGACTGTTCCCTTCCAGGCTCGTAGTCAGCACTGATACATGCTGTACTCCTGTGAGATCACATAAGTCAAAGTATAGAAGGCTGTTTATTTGTCTCTATTTCCAGATCATAAGCTAGTGATAGTGTTTCTCTCTAGAGTGTTTCACAGAACTCCAGAATGTTGAGTTGAAAGGGATAGATATTAGAGGACTTTTTATCACATCAAAAACTTAAGTGAAGAGAAATGACACAACTTTCTCAAGAAGTCAGAGGTTTGACATTCTAAGCCATTTTCCAGGCACTTCTTTCTACAAAAGAAATGTCTCTCTAGTTAACCTATACTTTTGTTGTAATTCCGGTAAATTTACTTCTAATTGGCTTTTTAAAACAATACAGTGCTTTCCTTTCACCAGCAATACTCCTCCACCCCTTTGATAATTAAAACTGGTTAGTTCAAAAGGAGTGATTTTAATAAACCATGTTTAATCTTTTATTTCTTTCACTGTCTTCTCAGTGATAATATAGGTATACTTATAATGTTAATAATCACCATAAAAACCACAGCTGTGATTTATTGAGCAACTAAATATGGAAGGCATTATTCTGGACACAATATACATTACTACTAGTCCCCAGAACAAACATGAACAGGAGTATTATGCTCATTTTGTGGTGGAGAAAACACAGACTCAGAGAGGTTAAACAACTGCTGAAAATTCACCCTACTAGACAACAGCATCTCTGAGATTGCAGCAAGACTCTAGCTGACTCTGGTACCCATGTATGCCCTTTCTTTTATAAGAAGTTGCCTCTGTTATTTTAGATTTTCTCTTAAATGGGAGTTAAGGTATGCCATCATCCAATCTGATTTCATCTAATGAATGATCTTAACATTTTTGATTTCACTGAATAAAATACTGAATGCAGTACTCCTATAACACTAAAAACTTTTGTCTGTGATTTGTAAGCTTTTTAGAGTAACTTTATTTGGGTGATTTATTTTTAAGGCATCACTAAGCCCTAAAATGCTGTATGAGTGATTTTGGATAAAGTCACCATAAAAATAAACTTATATCATCAATCTCTGTTATCAGTTTTCTTGTTTGACACAAAGTATGATATATAGCAGCAGCAGAGTATATAAGGTACACTGGACTTGTGTCAGATAACCACAATTATAAGCTAATTTTGGCCATGTGATTGCTGCCATGAAATGCTCTTGGTAGTCATATCTGTGAAACAGTGTTGTATCTTGCCTAATTCATGGATAATATATATATAGATTCTCCTCAGATCATTATCACAATTTGCAAGGAAGCTACTAATGAGAACACACAATGTATTCACAAAATATGATGGGTGCATAAATAAAGTGTGTTTCAACTTCTACAGTGCACATCATGGGATAAAGAAAGGTAGAAATCTGTGTTTCTGTTTACCTTCCATTATTACCTGATTTCTGTCACTAACTTCTTCTCATAAGTGTTTTAACTAAGAAAATTAACAATGATTTTACAAAGCCAGACAAATAAAAAAGACTACTGAAGACAGATGCCATGTGAACATAACTCATTCTTTAATCCCAGTGTATGACAAGAAAAAAACATTGAAATTGAAGTTAGAGCCTTGGAATTTAGTTTAGTACTCCCATTAATCTATGTGTGGAACTTTGGGAAACTCTCTTTAACACTTTAGACCTCACTTCTCACTTTTCTCATCTGTAAAATGAGCAAGTTGTCTAAGATTCATGATTCGATGTGGAAAGAGAAAGTGCCAAATTTACGCAAGGATCTTTTGCAAACTTTATACTTCTACCAATAATTTAATATTTGGTTTTCTCTACCAAAGGGGTATACCCTGCAATTGAGAGCATTTACCATTCTAATATACTGATGAGGCATCTTTTAGGGTCTTGAGGATGTGAACAGGAAATAATTATTTCCCTGTGTGTTTCAGTGCTAGCAAAAACTGACACCCACAAGACTAGATGATCTCAAAAGAGCCTTCTGTTTAAGTTTTGTTACTGAAAATCCTAACCTCATGTTTTGTCTACCACCTGCTCTACTTCTAAAGAAGACAAGATCTAACAAGGGTCAAGGAATCCACCACAGTAGGTGGAGAAGGAAAGGGTTTTAAAATTCTTTTTTCCCAGAAGTCTTCATTCTCCTAATTCAGTATCTTTTTCTTAACATTTAACGTGTACACTGTGGCATAACAGAGTTTGGGCCTACCTCCTACTCAAAAGCACATTCTCATGTCTAACTCTTAGTTAATTCTTAAGTTGAAAAATCAAGGTAGAACATTAGAATTCCCTCAAGAGACAACCTAGCTCTCCAAGCAAAGATTTAAAATAGAAATTGGTGACAAATTCCCCCAAAGATAAAGCTTTCCCTCCTTCCTTCTCTCCCCATTCATCTATTCAGCATGTTTATACCTGTAGATTAGTGATATGTGACTACATCAGGATTCGGGGATTTACAATGCTGACCATTAAAAACACGTCTCAAGAGACAAAATTATGAATGGGTCTTGGTCTTTCAGAAACAGCTTGATGTCTCCAAATCTTTTCTCCTCCTTGGTTGTCTGTTTCTCACTTTAAAATCTCAACATATTTCATTCCAGAATATTCTGAGAACATTAGCTAAATATGCTGACCAATTACACCTAAGATTGATTGTATAAATATGTAACTACAAAGAATTTTAAGTGACTAAGAGAATTCTAAAGATTTTCTTCTCAAACCCCCAATAACATGGGAATATTTTTTGTGTATCAGGGGCTTATACACTATTACAGTGCTTTGGAGTTTACCAAGTGCTTACATAGACACAGTCATTTCATCCTCAGAAAAAGTTGTATGTGGCAGAGCGAGAGATGATTCATACAAATAAAATTTTGACCTAAATGTTTCATTTAAAATAGCATGTTCTTTTGAAAGCAGAGTAAGAGCTGAAAGTTTCTGTTGTTGTACTGTTCACAGTAAAATGTAACCAAAGGAGTTTCTTTTTATGGGAGAGAGGGGGCAGTATTGTGAAGTGTTACATGATACGACTGTACACATATCTGCTCATTTATTTACCCATTCCTCACTTGTCAAAATATACTTCGTGAATGGTACCATGTTAGGTATATATAGAGATTTAAAATTTAGAGGTATAAAACTTTAAATAATCCTTATTCTCCAAAAGCTCACAACATTTTAGGAGGTACAATACAATGTGCTAAGTTTAAAACAGAGTTAAATAACAGGGCCATTAATCCATTCATGTAGTTGGTCAACATTTACTGAGCAATTACTATGTGCAAGCTATTGCATTAGGAATAAAGATATATCAAGACTCAGTGTCTGTCTAAAAAAGTACTTATTCTAAGGAAAAAGACAAACCAATAAAGATACAATTATAAATTAATATTACTGATATGGGATAAAGAAACTGTTCCATGGCAGATCAAAAATATTCATTGTACTCATTCTTGGGGCAGGAGTAAGAAATGAACTAGGGTAATGGAAAAGTGCAGAGATGAACTGAGGCAAAAGGTGGAGTATTTACCTCTGGCTGGGTAACTCAGGAAAGACTTCGTTGAAGAGACACTTCAGGTATCCAACACAATTTTAAGGAGGTGAAGGTATAAGAAGAGGGCCTTACAGGCTAAAGGTACTCAGTGCACCAACTGATAGCACAAAGTAAAGAAACTGTTGGCCTTGTCCAGAAACTCCTCAGTTCTGGACCTCAGAATCCCAGGACTGAAGAGAAAGAATGATTTTACGCTATACAGAGAGCTGACTTCAGCCTTTCTTTTTATTTATTTCTACTTCACAAGACTAAATGGACAGCAGGGTGTGGGATAAATGAGCTCGACCAGGAAGTGGACATGGGGGGATACAGATCTGATCCTATAAAACACATAAGAGGCCCTCCTGAGTTTAATCTTTGAACAAGCATTTCAGCTGTCTTCTCATCCCTGAGACTCTTAGGTATTTGACAGATGAAGAAAAAGAGGTCAAAACATGATGCCCAAGGAGCAGAACTAAGTGGTTTTTTGCATGCAGAACTAAAACGACATGCAAAAATGTGTGCAAATGGACTGTGAGTTGTAAAGTACTTTAGAAACGAGCTAATTCTTGTTAAAATTACTTGAACACTTTTTCTGACTTCTAGTCCAATATACTCTCTAACATACTGAGTTAAAAATTTTTCAAAAAATTTGAAAAATACAACCATTCCCAAAGTGCCTCCAAATCATCAATTTTATGCATTTATAAATATAGATGTCTATGTATCTATATTTATATGTATGTATCTGTAGACACGTGTTCATTATGCATCCTCCACATAATGTGTCTATAGATACATATATACACATGAAGATGTTTTACGTACATGTATACATATGTGCATAAATAATTTATTTTGGCAAAATAAAGGTTTTCATTGAATTCGTTTTCTAATTTCCCATAAAGATATGTCATTTTAGAATGAGATGTTAGAAAGAGAGAAAATCAAATTTTGCCATGTGCTAATGTAAAATACATTATAGGTATAAATATGTGCAAAAAAATGTTACATTGGAAGTCCTAAGACACCAAGATATAAAAATGAGATTCCAAAGGAGGCAGACCACATGTGCAATATTCAAAAGAAATTACCAAGAACCAACTTTGGGATACTGAATCCTATTTATAATATAATATAATGCTGGTATACAAAATTTGGGTGACTGAAGAT